TACACTTTGACAAAAGGACCAGAGGATATTTAGAAGAAAGAAGACCAAACGAATTATGGTAACTCACGCCACAACTGTAAGAGAATCACACACAGAATAATAGTGCGATAGTAATATAGAAGACAGATCTGCTTGTCAACTGATATTCTAAAGTAACTGAATAGGCCTAAGTGGATATTTGACAAGGAGAGAATTACATATATATAGTATTTATGATATCTCCGTAATATCTATAGTGTTGAAGAATTTATTGTACATACGTTAATGTATTCTGAATATATATATTATTTTGATAACAAGTGAAGTGCGTGCTGTTCATTTATTGTTGAATTTATCATCAACAAGTCATAGACACCAACTGTAGAAGAATCCTAAGCCCAACAACAATAAAGTATATATTTATACTATTAAAAAGTAAGTAAAAGCCTTTTATTTTGACAATTAGCAAAAAAACTATATTTTAAATTTTGACACATTCCTTGTCTACATTCATAGCACTACTTTTTATGCTCAGCATTGCTGGACACTTTTGCTATTTCCTTATGTGAAATGGATAACACTTCAAAAACACAGCACAGAAGGAAAATAGAAACGGTTCTTAAAACCATTTTCACATGATGTATGCTAGGAACAAGAAGAAAAAAGGGTACCCGTTATTTGCGTGCAGCTGTAACAATGCTAAGTACTTTTTGAGATGCGATATATTACAATAACAAGTTTAACCCACGTAAAATCTTCACATTAATACTGTTAACTTATTTTCTGACGTACCTTTAAACTTTTTGGTTGTTGTTTGACTTCCATGGCATGTTTTTTCCGTAACTCCCGCTCTCTGCGACTGTTGTATTCCTGTTGGTTTGCTAGTTCTGTGTGGTGCTGTTTGCGAACCTGCTCGTCTTTAAGCTGGTGAACAGAACGTTGCTGTCTGTAAGTTAGCTCCTGGGTCCCATCATGATGATGAAGTAGCATCGTGTGAGCCTGCTCCAGCTGACTCTGCCGTTTATTTAACTCCTGAAAAACAACACAACTTTCTAATGTTAACACTGATATAAATCTCTACATCAGATCATGACCTAAACTATAATTCTTTTATACACAGCTGGAGTAAATATTCTCGGCAATGCAAAGATACACACACATTGTTGCTGTCAACAATTTCAAGAAACCAATTCTTTTAATATTCACAGTTTACAAAACAGCTGGTCAAGTACATTTTATAAGTTTAAGAACTTTTAGTTGGAAAATATTCTGAAAAACTATTACCACAAATTCATTGTACTTAAACAATTAACCTTTTAGTTGACATTACAGCTTGTGGTGATACTTGAAACAATTAACCTCCAAGTTAAATATACAGCTTGTGGTGGTACTTGACATAATTAACCTCCAAGTTAAATATACAGCTTGTGGTGGTACTTGAAACAATTAACCTCCAAATTAACTTTACAGCTTGTGGTGGTACTTGACATAATTAACCTCCAAGTTAAATATACTCAGATTACGAGTCGAGTACCCTAACCACTTGGCCATGCTGGGCCTCTAAATTTCAAAAGGAAATATTTACATAAATTCTCAACCTTTGGTCTCTGGAACATCTGACTCTTCCTTCTTCCAAATTGCACATTTATTATTTTCGTTCACTTCTATGTGATCTTCAAAGTTTCCCATAAATTACACACTCATAGAATGGATATTTCAAAGGTAAAATATACCGAGATATATATACAATAAAATCCAGCATGCTCCTTCCTAGCCCATCCCGTGTTACAAAAAAGTCAATAATTCTCTCGGACAATTTCTGTTGGATTATTTCTAACCAAAAGAAAGATAAGATTTTAACTTACTGAATGAGAAGAAGTTAGAAGCCATTGAGATAACTGGTTTTCAAAAATTTGCTCCCAGTTTCATTGTTTGCGAGTGTTAGAACTCTGCTTGGCCAACTACTGGAATTAAATCTATTTATAACTTAATTAGAAATCCAGTTAAGTTAACGTAGTTTTAGGATATTTCTTTCTTCATGACAATATTTCGAATACTAAGTTGCTTTTTTGAATTTAAAATTTGTAAGAGATAAATGTTCTTACAAGAATTAGGCCTAGTATACTTTGATTCATTATTCTGATTGTGAATACAGAAACTTGAAAAACAATGAGACTCCAGACTTAAGTAATAACTTTCTAGTTTCTTATGTATATTATTCAACTAAAAAGTAAAATCGGTAATTTATTAGGTTAAGTAAGAACAATTTAAATGAAATTAAATAAACTACTCACAATAGTACATGAACATCATGAGGCATGACTGTGTAATTCGACATGCATACTTTACAGGCATAATAAACAGCTTTCACCAAAAGACTTTTAACATTTACTACAGAGTTTTAGTATTTATATCTTCACGGTTACAAGGTTGGTCATTTTGACCAAGCCAGTATACAACAATAACAGATTCATTTGTTATTTGGATTAATTCATTATTTTATGTTACACTAGTCAACATAATCGATACTCATAGGTAACCAATTGTATTGCAGCTCTAATACCTAACATTTCTAGCCTATCCTTCACATTATATTCACAACACGTTATACTTTTAGTTTACTTCTGGTCAACATCGTATATAAAATCCAGCATTCATTTCAACATCAAGGAAGTCAGATCATCTAGATGACCTCTTTGAAAACAAAATGCATAATTTTTTTTTGGAACAAGTGACCTATGACAACACAGTAAATAAAAAAATGACCTCTAGATGACCTCTTTGAAAACAAAATGCATAATTTGTTTGGAACAAATGATCTATGACAACACAGTAAATAAAAAAATGACCTCTTTGAAAACAAAGTGAATAATTTGTTTGGAACAAGTGACCTATGACAACACAGTAAATAAAAAAATGACCTCTTTGAAAACAAAGTGAATAATTTGTTTGGAACAAGTGACCTATGACAACACAGTAAATAAAAAAATATACGGGTACCTACCTCTCGAAGTAAATCTTGTTCTAACTGATGATACTGTAACAGCTTCCTCCGTCGAAATTTACGAATCTCCAACTTATGGTAGTCAGTTTGTTCTCTCTGTAACCTGTGCACAGCTACTGCTTGCCTATGTAACACGTCTTCTTTGTGACTACGTAAAGCATCATCTCGTTGTCTAGAGGGAGTGTCTCCACCCATCTCCTTCAGCAGAAAATTTATTTACATTTTAAAATATAACTACATAATTATCTTTTAAGAATATATTTTAACATGATATCTGTAGAGGCATTTTCCCGAGGTAAAAGTTTCATAAAATTACAGAAACTTATAATAAATATCACACGTTACAGTAAAAGTGTGATATCAGTGGTCAGTTCTCTTAAGCTAACAGTTAATAAATGTTGCATGTTACAGTAAAAATGCGAGACCAGTGGTCAGTTCTCTTAATTTAACATTTTACCACAACAAAGTTCTATGAAGTAATAAAAACAATTCAAACAAATTTCCATTGATTCTGCCTCACAGACAGAGAAAACATGGCTACCACATCACAGAAACATACAAGACGAACTACGTAGTGATCTAATATTGGTAATAAGGTTAACACTTCCATAAGAAGCACAAACTTACTTTCTTCTTCCGATCTTTCATTTGCTTGTATTCATTTTTCTGCTGCTGTTGGTAGCGTTTCAGTTCATCTTCGTGTTGTTTAGATATTGCCTGGCTAAGCCTTTTTTCACTAGCAAGATTATGTTTCAGCTGTAATGAAAAGTTTTAATACACCATTATTTCAAATTACAGTATTCACTACAGTTAGATAAAATCACCTTCCAATACACAAAGCAAAAATTCACCCATTAGGAGGAGCAGTGAACAAATACTTTTCTAACAAGTCTGTTAACCCTTTAACTACAGGTACCACATTAAGCACTTTTGAGTTACATTCAAAATTTAATTAAACACCTTTACTATCAATATATGTCAATGAAGTACATGAGAAGACTAGAAACTGGGGTCTGGAGATCCATGGGGTTTCACGAGGTTAGTTTAGGAGGTCTGGGAGTCATGTCAGAAATTTCATAAAAATGCTTATAAAAATATTATTTATAGAAGAAGTGTATTAAAACATTAATTTCTGGAATGCAGATTTAAATGTACAGTCTTTTTTTCTTAACAAAACAACATTGACAGGTTTTAAGTTCTCGGGATATTGAAGCCTGAGAACCGATGCTCTAGTATTTAAAAACAAACAACCCTGACATTTTAAACAATGTATGGCAGTACCTTCTATACTGAATATAACAACAAACATGCATAAAATATTAAAAGTATGTTCTGAAAGTGAACTTTACAAAGGGTTTTGTTACAAGTATGTGAGAAAACCAGTAATAGCATGTTTTACAAAAGGTTTGGGTACAAGTAAATGAAAAGACTAGTTATAATATGCCTTAGAAAGGGTTTAGTTAGAAGAATATGGCTGGCATGGCCCAGCACTAAAGGGAGATTGTCTTATAATTCGAGTCATCAGTTCTAAACCTTCTGCCAAAACATATGTCTACACATTTATCAACAGGGCAACATATGTGCTTTTAACAGGGCAATATATATGTGCTTTTGAGCTACTAAGACCACCTGCCATTGTCCATAATTTTGAATTGCCAATCAGAGAGAATGACAATGGTTGGCAGCATCCATCACAAATTTTAGAGTTAATCTTTTACCAACGAATAGCGGGACTGACCATCTCTGCTGACCGTGGCATTATAGTAACCTTAAGATTTAAAGGTCAAAAATGTTATTTGGCACTGGTTATCGAATCCACAATCTTTTAATTCACTAGGCAACCACCTGGCTATGTCAGCCTTGTGGCATATATTTCTCTCTGGTTACATCAGTATTACATTACTTATGGCATGCACGCAATGAAAGGGGGAGGAGGTTGGGGGCTCGAGATACTCCCTTTCAAATAAACTTTAAAAGTTTGTGCAAAAAATGTATTCAAGGAATAGCCATTTTTATATACCTGAATACATATCTAAACTACTTTTAAACAAAGAGGAACACACGTTTTTTTTATTTTTCTCTCACTAACAATTATAATATACAGGGAAGACAACTGTTTCAGGCTTTTGACTGCGAGTACTCTAGTGCACAAGTCCAATCTACACACGTAGAAAAGAATATCAACAGAAATAATGAATTATTGTTTAACATGTTGTACCGAGAGCTTAATTAATTTTATTTGCAGTAATTTTTTATGTGTTGGTCAATTATTATTTAAAGGAAGAAAACACCATTAACTTTCTTGTCAAAAATAATTAAGTCATTTGAGAGCAATTAGCATACAAATATTTTGCATACCATCTGGAATTTCTCACCAAAAACTTTTAAAATAGTGCTAAAACAATCTCAATACTTAACATACTGGAACATGCATAGCATGATGGTTATATTTGTAATAAACAAACTCATAATGAATATTACTACAGTATAACATGAAGCGTAGCTCTACAAGTCTTTAAAATAAAATTTAAATGTCAAGCTCTACAATGTTTTCACCATCTCCAAATTCTAATCGTATCCACAACACGATACACGACAGCCGTCTCAGTTAACGGTCTTCTGTTTCTTAGTATCCGCAACACGAAACAAGTTACCACGACAGCCGTCTCAGTTAATGGTCTTCTGGTTCTTAGTATCCGCAACACGTTACCACGACAGCCGTCTCAGTTACCGGTCTTCTGGTTCTTAGTATTCGCAACACGTTACCACGACAGCTGTCTCAGTTAATGGTCTTTTGGTTCTTAGTATCCGCAACACGAAACACGTTACCACGAAAGCCGTCTCAGTTAACGGTCTTCTGGTTCTTAGTATCCGCAACATGTTACCACGACAGCCGTCTCAGTTAACGGTCTTCTGGTTCTTAGTATCCGCAGCACGTTACCACGACAGCCGTCTCAGTTAATGGTCTTCTGGTTCTTAGTATCTGCAACACGAAACACGTTACCACGACAGCCATCTCAGTTAACGGTCTTCTGGTTCTTTGTATCCGCAACACGAAACACGTTACCACGACAGCCGTCTCAGTTAACGGTCTTCTGGTTCTTAGTATCCGCAACATGTTACCACGACAGCCGTCTCAGTTAACGGTCTTCTGGTTCTTAGTATCCACAGCATGTTACCACGACAGCCGTCTCAGTTAACGGTCTTCTGGTTCTTAGTATCCA